GCTTAAAGTTCATTAAATTTATTAATCCAAATGATAACGCACTCTACACTAATTAGGATGATGAAAATACTATAATTTTTTTCACTTCCTTTTACCCCACTCGAAGCCTACAATAGAAAGAAAAAAAACAACACAATAAGTGAGATCCAGTTTGAGGTCAGGGGTTTGTGTCGCATCGGATTTAAGCATCTAAGAGCATGTACATTGGGTGCTCTCAATGGTATTCTTAAAATATAAAATTATTAAAACACACACTTTCTCTTTCTTTTACTCAACTTTATATCTTCTCTTTCATCTTTTTACTCAATTTTTATTAATTTTATATTTAAACACTCTTTTTTTATTTTGAGAACACTATCTAAAARTACTACTTTAAGAACACTCTTTCTCCCATGCTCTCAATTTTTATTAATTTTATATTTAAACACACCCACTATCTCTTCTCTTTCCTCAAATTTTATTAATTTTATATTCAATACACCCCACAAAAACACTCTCTTTCTTCTTTTTACTCAAATTTTAATAATTTTATATTTTAAAAACACCCTTGAGAACACCCCAATGTACATGCTCTAAGACACTAAGTCTTGGATTTGGATTACTTCAGCAATGATGATAATATATATTTTACCATGCTCTCATTATAATATAAGTCTTAGATAAATTTAAAATTTGGATAGTTGAACAATTAAAATTGGCAGAAATAACAAACATCAACAAAGGTTTGTCGATGTGTTTTGCACCAAAGTTGCATAGAATTGTATAAGATATTCGCATCAAAAGGAGAAGTTAAAAAAAAAGGAGAAGTATCTTTTTTAGGAACTAATCTATGAATGCTTTAAAGAACAAGATTCTTATACCTAACAAGACAACAGCAAAACAATGGGTTCTTCGATATACAATAATGGCGAACAAACACAGAAACAAAATTGGTTAGACATGGATATTACGTGCATCTGTTAGCAAATCCAAAGCAACCTTATTCATGTTTTATAAAAACTTTT